CTGTTTTATGTCTAGCCAGCTTTAGCAATCCCATACAAGATATCAGGTTAATGCAATCAGAAGGGGTATGAAATGATCAGGAGTGAAGTGTTTTCTAGGGGGTCATGTTGGAGAGTCTGACATAAACATAGTTTTAAAGGTGCTGAGTATCATTATTAACTAATCATTCATTTTTTCTCATATAAGCGCACATTTTATTTCATGTGATATGTGAAAAGTTTCTAAGAACGTTTTTCAACCTCTTGGTTTACAATCTTATAGTCTAATCTTGCAGAGTTTGAGATGCGAGATGAGGTTACAAGGAGCTGACCCTGCTATCGGAGCTGAGGACTCAAGCAGGTCTCTCAGTCTCACTGTTATTAAGTCAGTTCATATAACCAACAAGTTCCTTGTTTTCCAAAGCTCTCTTTTACTAATCAACACATAATTGTGTGCAGGAAAACCTTCACTGCAAACACAAAACATATCGGTATTAAAGAGCATGAATAAAGAAATTATGCCACAGACTTTTTAGAAGAGTTAATGCCTCTACTAAAAATTTCCTCCACCACACAGCCCAATGTCTCCACCACACAACCTAGTTCTTCTACCACACAGTCTAATACCTCCACCACACAGCCTAGTTCTTCTACCACACAGTCTAATACCTCCACCACACAGCCTAGTTCTTCTACCACACAGTCTAATACCTCCACCACACAGCCTTATTTCTCCACCATATGGGCTAATTTCTCCAACATACAGGCTAATGTCTCCACCACAAAGCCTCATTTCTCCACCACACAACCTTATTCCTTCCCCACACAGCCTAACCTCTTTATAACACAGCCTAATGCCTTCACTGCACAGCCTAATGCCTCTACAACATAGCATAATGCCTCCACCACACAACCTAATATTTCCAATGCAGAGCCTAATGTCTTGACCAAATTACCTAATACCTACACCACACAATCTAGAATCTCCACCACACAACCTAATATCTCCAATGCAAAGCCTAATGCCTTGACCAAATTGCCTAATACCTACACCACACAACCTAGAATCTCCACCACAGAACCTAGTCTCCACCTGCACTGCACTACATTTTGCCATTTTACAATTTCTTGACATTAAACTCAGGAGTTAAATCTTAAAAATGCATTTGAGTACCTTAACTATTAACAAAAATGTATCTTATCTGTGTATCACTTAGCGGTAGACGCTCAAATCATCTCTGAATTGGTGCTGACACAGTCCTTCCTTCTGGAGGGTGGCTACTTTTGTTCCCCATGGTTTCTGTCTGTGTTGTAAAGTAGTTACCGCTTTAAGCTCACTCATATAATGGACTACAATCTCATGTTTAGTCTACCAATTTGTACTGAGATTGTAGTCCATCACAGGAGCGAGCTTGGAGCGGTGGCTACTTTACAACACACACAGGGACAGTGGGGAAAATAAGTAGCCACCCTCCAGAAGGAAGGAGAGTGTCGGTATGAATTCAGAGATGATTTGAGGATCTGCAGCTGAGTGACACACAAATAAGATACATTATTGTTAATAGTTGAGGTACTTTAATGCATTTTTAAGATTTAACTCCCGAGTTTAGTGTCACTTTAAATATGGATATTAATAGCAGGCACACTACTGATGCCCACTGAAGCAAGCATATCCTGTTGATCACACCACCACTCACTGCATCTACAGCATACATGTGCTACATAAGTATCAATCTGGGCCGTTAAATAAAATGAGTACTGAAAGCAATACAAAGGATACCATTGCTGACCTTTCCTCATGAAAATGCTAGCTTCTTAGCTGTCATGTTGCTCCCGTGGGTTTAACTATGCCTGACTCATTTACACAAAACAAGAATAGATATAAGGATGTATGACTTCAGTCTGCCTTCCTATGCTGAATATTCCTCTAGGGAAAATAACTTACCAAGCACTGAAATCAGAGGCAGTCAACAAAACAACATTTGCAGGAGGTCAGCAATGCACATATTTTTCTCATTAAAGAAAGAAAACTTTGGACTGAATCACCCAGTAAGGGATGAGTCAATGCAATAAGTCCCCAGTGTGAGTCTTAGCAGTATGTAAATTTCAGCTTGTGTTATTGGGGTTTGTAAACAACATGCTTTTTTCATCGCCTGTAAATAGGTAAAAAGAGAAAACACGAAAAGGGACGAAGCTCCAAAACCAGCTGAAAAAACTGAAAAAATATTTACTATAATAATTTTTTTAAATCTATACCATATATAATAAGAAAAGAAAATGTGTTCAAAGCCGCTATACATTCCCTTTATCTGTTTGACCAAGCAGCAATATAAGATTCACCCGCAGGTGTCACTGTAGGCAAAATATGAGTTCCAAAAAATCATGGTACTACAAGTGACAGTTCCCCTTCATGCTTCCACAGTGAGGTGTTTTGAATCATCTGGAAGGGTTGTAACGTATGGAAACCCCCATAAGTAGATTTGAATTCTATAGTGACATCATCCTAGGTATTGTGAGTGAAGGGCGTCAGACAGGCATGATCATCTTGAATGAAGTGGACAGTCTGAGGACAGGCAGAGGTAATTAAGAAATGGATGTCTGCAATGAAGCTTACAATCTGTGTGAATCGGAAACAATTCCGTGATATGAAACAGATAAATGGCAATGCTGAGGTGCTTTGACTGCTTCTGATAAATGCATGTGCATTAATGGATATTGAAACTATTTATGTATGTCACACAAATCAAAATATGAAGAGACGTCAAAGTCCTTGATAATATGGATGGATGCTGGACTAAAAAAACATGACGGGGGAGATAAGCAGCTGATAGGCTGAAGGTGAAGGAGAGCAGAGAAGACGCGCATATCATTGCTAGGAGCTTCTCTGGGCTCTACGCAGATCTCTGGCCGCAGTCCAACAACAGTCACATATTCATAATCTCTCAGAACCTGTCAATTACCTGATGAGGGTTTAATGCAGTGACTAGAGACTATATAAATTAAGTGTGGGCTTAACGCGCACACAATGGGTTATATAAAACACAAGCTCACATTTATACTCGCAACTATTTGCCATTTATTTTCCTGAGTATAGTGTACCTGTGATGATAAAATATGGAGGATGACATTGCTGACTGTTTCTAATAGACTCTGCGCACGTCATCCTCTTCTTGGCTTTACTATTTAGTGCAAGCATGCAGCCAGTGAAGAGTAGGGACCTGATATGCACATTAGGGATGCACCAATACTAGTATCAGTACAGATACCGAGTATTTGAGATACGAGATACTAGTACTCGCTCAAATTCTCCGATAACGGAAGATTTCCTCTGACCGGCAGTGCCCTTTCAGAACATGGAGCCAGCTTCCCGTGCAATCAGGAAGCTGGGCAGCGAGTAATCTCCCTGATTGGCTGGGAAGCCAGTTTCCCGGCCAAGCACAATCAAGCCGGCCAGAAAACATGGAGCCAGCTTCTCGGGCAATCAGATATCGGTACTCGGTATGGACGAGTACCGAAAGCAAAGTATCGGTACTCACACTCGATACCGCAAAAAAGGTATCGCTGCATCACTAATGCACATAACTATTCTAGATCAGTACGTAAAATGAAAGCTGATAGGGTAAGAATATATTGTCTAAATACAGGAGCTTGTGTATTCTTACTTGAATCTTGGTGAGCTTTGTGTATTTCTCCTAGATTTGTAGAGTAATCCAGTGTGAAACTTTGTCTCTGTGCACGAGCTTCTTGTAATAAAGATCGGTCACTGCTGTTCTCTCTTCTTGTGCAGGGTGACTGGTCTTGTCTTTACCCCCTCCTATAGTTTTCTGCAGGCAGCCTGTAGTGGGTGGGGCTTGTTGGGTCCCTCCCACAGCTCTGCTCCCTGCAGAGGCTGTGTACCACATAGTGATTATGCCACTTTTTCAAGGAAATAACTGGGACTTTGAAAGGCATTTGTGTCCTTTGTGGCAATTGAGGAATGCAATTGAAATTAACTTTCTTATGTCTGGAGTTCAGCTTTAGGAATGACAGCACTGAATCCTGCATAAGTTAGCAATGGCAGCTCCCATGTTTTTTTCTTTTCTGGCAAATTACCGTCACTTATCCTTCTGGCCCCCATTTTTATGATGTTTTACTTTTCTGTATCCTTCTGGCCCCACCTGCTTTTACATTTCTCACTGGGTGCTCTGGTATATCTGTATACACATGGAAATCTGTTGGATTTTTTTTTTGCTGTTCAGCCTGAAAGCGGATCTACTAATCTACTAGTGTACACCCAGCTTAACGTCTTAAAATCCAAGGGTTGTGATAGGTTTACACCCATCAGATGCTTCCTAGAAGATTACTGTTTGAATTTAAGGGACATTCCAGTTTTTGAAAAACATTTATAAATGCATACGTCTTCACTGGGGCCAGTAAAGCATTGCAACTGCAATCAGTGGATCGTGGTTGTAACACTCTGGCTCCTGCAGACCCCTGCCGGTATGGACATTCAGTAACATGGATGGGAGGAAGAATGAATAGACTACAAGTGTGATGACATCACTGCATTTGTATTCTATTGAGAATGAAAGTCCTTCTGCCACGGTGACTGATGGGGCTTCAAGGATCCGTGGGAAGAGTCACAGACAGCCATGGGTGCAATCTGACAACGTTTCATGATACACCCTAAATATGGATGTAACACGAAACATGGCCATAAAGGTAAACTTGGCCTTTACACAGTTGCCTGTAGCTGTTTATAAAGAAACCTCTATTTGCTTGTTTCTTAACTCCAGCTGGTACACAAGGGGCAAAACCCAGAAACATTGGTTATGGATTGCAAAACGCACAATTGCATGGACTGAGGATGGATGCAGTACAGGTAAAAATACGATTTTGCTGTCCTATGCACACTGTAACCATTCTGAGGATGCTTTCAGTGAAACCTCACGGAGGCTCACACATAAAGCATATACAGTACATAAAGTGAAACAATCTTCTTAGCATCATTAAGCATTACAATCTTATAGCTATTACTTTTCAAACTTGTCATGTCACAACTGGTCCCTACCAATATATACAAGGCATTCTGATCCCTTTAATGTTTTCCTACCACATGTACAAGCAACCCACGCTTACGATTTTATAAAGCCAGGAGATTAATACTGCACTTATGTGAACGAGCTTACAAAAACAGCTACTGACCTTTTGTTATTTCATTTGCCGGTAAATATTAAGCCATAAAACACACATTCTATGAGCTTTTAGCTGCTGTCCAGCAATAGGTTTCTCAGCTCTTTAGCTAAGAAAATATAGACATAATCAATGCCACACTTTACTGAAAATCAATGCAGAATATAAAAAGTAAACGAAAATTAACCATAAAGACTCACCTGCTTGGTTGGTAGTAATATTGACAGACACATGTTGGGGAGGGAATGGGCTTTTATTGGTGACTCCGTTCACCGACTGGATCTCAAACGTATACGGTGTGTGGGCCCATAAATTGCTGATGAAGACTCGGGTGTCTGTGAGCCCCATTTGTCGGGGAACAAAGTCCACATTATCATCACACCGCGAGCAAGTCCTCCGGTCAGAGCGGCATTTCTTGCAGATGATGTTGTAGGTGACGTCATCCCTGCCTCCAGTTTCACGTGGGGGGTGCCATTCCAATGTGATGGACGTCTCGTTCACTATAGAGATGACATTGCGTGGTCCAGAAGGAACACCTTTAAAACAAAAAAGTAGAATTTGAAAATATAGTGTAAAGTCATACTGATCAGTATTCTGGGATGGGAACATGCTATTGCTTGTTAGACAGTAGATATGATGCCCAGGATAGACAAATGACCGTATTTGCCGGCGTATAAGGCGACTGGGTGTATAAGATGACCCCCTAATTTTCCACTTAAAACATAGGTTTTGGGCTATACTCGTCATATAAGACTACCCCACTTCAGAGGCAACACCATTTAAAAACATAATGGATGGATGTGCGGTAATGCTGTATGTACGGTAGCTTCGGCTACATACAGTATACCGCACTGAGCCAATCACGGCGAGCAATGTATTCTATTAATGAATACAAAGCCTGCTTGGATTGGCAGAGGTTGTGTACATCACTCGCGGTAATTGGCTCAGCGCGGTATACTGTATGTAGCCGAAGCTACCGTACATACAGTATTACCGCACATCCAGCGTGCTGTTGGATGGATGTTCGTTTTGGGCCAGCTTAGCCCAAACGAACTAAAGGTATACATTGTATACCCCGTGTATAAGATGACCCCTGATTTTCGGGGGATGTTTTTAAGTATAAAAAGTAGTCTTATACGCCAGCAAATACAGTACATCAATTTCTGGTGTTAGACATTTAAGAAAACTGCCAGGAATAAGAAATTTAAATAATCTAACTCTTAATTCCTAACTTCTTATAATAGTGCAGCCTTAGGTGTGTGTGTGTGGGGGGTGTTACTTTTATTATCTTCCTGCTACAGAAGAAATGTCAACTCAGTATCAGGCTATAGTACCCCCATGGAGACTCAGCTGACCTCAGGGCTGAAAACTGTATGAGCTGTTAGAAGGGGTCAAGAAAATGAATTTTCAGTAAACTGACCCTTTAACTCATATTATTTGCTCTCATAAACACCTATTTTAAGCTGAACTGAAAAAACTTTAATTAAACTATATTCCTCAATAGCCACAAAGGACATAAATCCACTTTGTATAAATCAAATGCCTTTGTAAACCCAGTAAAAGTAGCAGTGATATAATCACTTTGCTGTACATAGCCTGTTCAGACCCTGTGGGAGGGTCTCAAAAGGCCCACCCACTGCAGGCTGCCTGCAGAAAGCTACAGGAGGGGGCGGAAACAAGACCAGTCACCCTGTACAAGGACAGTGAGCAGGAGTGACTGGTCTTTATTACAGGAAGCTTCTGCACAGAAGCAAAGTCTCACACTGGATTACTGCTCCGATCTGGAAGAAATACACAAATTACACCAAAATGCAAGTAGGAATACACATGGTTCCAGTATTTAGACAATATTTGCTTATCTTGGTGTTCAGCTTTAACAAAGGTCACTACAGTTTTTAAAACATCGAATTCTTAACCTTCAATCTGCCCAAAAGGGAGAAAGATGAAGCCCCTGAACTATGATAGCCAAATAACACCCACGTTCCCAAAATAAACCTACTAAAAACACGTGTCTGGGGTTGTGCTACCATGAGGTGCCCCTCAAGGCCATACAAAGCTATTATAGGCTGTCACTGTCCAGCTCGGGTCCCTGTGAAATAAGACGACCCGAGAACAATTTGCGTCTTCTTTCAGGCTATAATGCTTTCAAAGATACAGCCGTGCTTTTATACTATTTTACTTTAGAGTTATCAAACACATCCGTTGGGATTCGTTGTCTAGCATTTACTATCCGTTCAATAAAGTTAGACTTTGTGACTTTGTGAACTCTTTCTATTTTAACAGTCGAATGCCACAGCATGATCTAGACTCTCTCTCTATGGAAAAAGCCGTCCTTTTGAACTTTGCTATAATGTTAATGTAGTACTAACACATCTATGTTTCTGCCTCTGCGAGATGTAACCCGGACACAATGGAACAAGGACCAATTTCCACAAAATTCTATAGTTACTGTCATGACAAAAGTCCTTTCCCTAAAGCTGCTCACAGAAACGGATGATGACCCTGCTAGGATGTAGCTCCAAAAATCCTGACCACCGTTCCATCAAATTACGAGACCGCAAACATATTATTTCTGGTTTTAAATATTACTTCTTTGAAACATTTTCAGATTTGTAATGCAGGCCATTGACTTTATCAACTTTGTAAGAAACATTTACTTATTATTCTGCCTATATAGGACTTTGAATTCTAGATTTGCAGGAATGAGAAATGTGCACCTTCTTATTTTTGTTGCATTGAGCTGCAGACATAAAACCGATGCCAGACTTGTGATGGTGTTGCTGGCGATAATTGCTAGAATTTGCAGGAAGAACATTTACCTGCTTTGTATGTGTCACTCCCTCGCCATCCTTTGCTCTCTCACTGCAAAAAATGCTGCAGATTGTAAGGCTCCCCATACACCTTGCGATCATCGGACGACACTTTTTTGTACGGCGGCCCCATCCTGCCCCGATTATCGCAAGGTTGGATCAGCGGTAATTAGAAGAAAGCAGCTGGACGAATTGCGCTAATCGACCGCACGTATTTTCGTCTGCGCATGTGCAGTGTCGATTGTACGCATTTTGACATACGGAAACGCCACCAACCTTGCGAAAATCGTACGATCAACCAAAGTTTTCTAACCAGCTGGTTAGTCAAAAGTCGATCGATTGTACAGTATTTGCGGGTGTACACAGCCCATCAACCTTACGAATATCGGACGAATTCCATTTGGAAATTGGCTGATATCCGTAAGGTGTATGGGCACCTTAAGTCAGTTTCTCGCTCTTCCAACTGGCGAGTGTTCCTGTTTCCTGCCATGTCCTCCATAGAGATCCTGCTGCTTGCAAGTTCTCACCAGCGACAGGTTTGTGAGTGTGCCATCGGCCCAACTGCCTTCAGTTGACTGCAGAGAGGGGGAATTTATCAAAACTGGAGCAGGTAAAATCTGGAGCAGCTGTGCATGGCAACCAATCAGCTTCTCTCTTCAGTTTGGTCAGTTAAGATTTGAAAATGAAAGAAAGAGGCTGGTTGGTTGCCATGCACAGCTGCTCCAGATGTTGTCTGCTCCAGTTTTGATCAATTCCCCCCATAGTGTTTGCATAGACAGGAAAGTTTCATTCACTACAGTTGGCTCATTGAACTTTTCAGTAAATGTATTTGATACTTCAAAGCTAGAGGTGTAATCTAACAGAACAAGTAATACCTCCATTTTCCTTGATTGAGTAAAGAAGTTAATTAACCCCTGCAGTGTGGCTAACCCGCACACTACAAGCATTAAGTGCTCATTTTGGTCTAGGAGCCAGAATAAAGAAGATATATTCACTTGATCCTCGGTCCTGCTGCAGTCAGCGCTCACCTCTCTCCCCCTCCGCTCCAGCATGTCTCTTGGCATCCTCAGGTCTAAAGCAGTCGAATGAGCCTGCATTAGACATGATAACATCAGCAGGACCTATACTGGAGCCCCGGGATGAGAGGCTGTGGGGAACAGTCTAGCAACGAAGCAGGACCAAGGATTAGGTGAGTATATTTTCTTTATTTGCATCCCTAGACGACAAAAAGCAGTTAATCTTTGCAGTGCAGGGCAGCCCAATGTAATAACATCAGCAGGACCTATACCGGAGAGGAAAGGCTGTGGGGACCGGTCTAGCAGCCAAGTGGGATTAAGGATTGGGTGAGTATATTTTCTTTATTTGCCTCCCTAGACCACAATGAGCAGTTAACCCTTGAAGTGTGGGGGTAGTCCCACTGCAAGGGTTAATTTTTTTAAATGCTGGAGTACTTCTTTAAAAGTCAACACCAGCCAATACGTTTTGGTTTGTACAGAGTGGCAAAAGGTTAGAAGCTATGTCAGCTTTAGGCTTCACTTACATGGGCAGCAAAGGGGCAGTAAAAACAAGCAGCTGATCTGCATTTTATAACCCAGACATGTGCCAAACACTTGACACAAGGTTGCGGTGCGGTATTGCAATGCAAAATCCCCCTTGGGATAAAAAAAAAGAAAAAAGAAAACAACAGGCATTCAGGACAAGTCATTCAGGGCAGTATGGCCTTCTGTCAACTGTGCTCTGAAACAGGGCTGCAACAACTAATCGACATAATCGATTATTGAAAAAGTTGTCAAAAGCAATCCAACGTGGATTGCTCGTCAGGGGGTGGAAAAAGTCAGGTGTAAACGAGGCTTAACACTGCTGTCTGAGCTCCCACTGGGAAATATTTATATACATCCTTGTCCATTTCAAGGGTCAGACAGAACAGGAAAAGAACCTCCCAGTTGTGTCTGATCTCGCACATGCACTGTATATCATCTGTGGAAAAGACTTGCTCCACCGAGATCTCGAAAATAGAACTATGGACTCCCTATGAACAAATAGGTGCTGCAGCACTTAATTACAGTCACTGTTTGGGTATTCTGACATTGGTCATGTTGGTAGACAGCAACATGTCTCCTAGGAAGACACTGGTGATGTAGCCTCCCCAGGGGGCAGCTGTGAGGTCCTGGCTACATCAACAGTGCCTCATTATACCTGGAAGTAAAATACATAAAAATGTAATAAAAAATATATATATTTAGTTTGACTTTGAGATGTTTAGATGCATGGACCATGGAGGTCCACTTTAATTAATATATAGCTGCACTCAGTTATGTATTTTATATGCCTTCAACCCCCCCTTCTCTTTACAACCTATATTATACTGTAAGTGCATGTTTGGAGAGGATGTTTTGCAGGTCACATTGTTAACTGATGAGCAATTCATTTTCTGAAAGCTGGCCATTAAACTGTAATTACCGTGGTCAAATTGCGACCTAGTCAGCAATGACCTGTGTGTGGTGCGGCCAGCACCCCCCTGTTCGACAATGGTCAATTTTTCAATCAACTTTGTCGAAGAAGCCAGTTCAAACATTCTCTGCGGGATATTGGATGCAGCCAATCAGCTACAGTCACTGGTCGGGTATTCTGACATTGGCACTCCCGCAGCTTCAGAATACAGTAGCCCAATGAGGGAAGTTGAAAAAAAAAAATGTTCGATTCCCCCATCCAGACTAGACACAGTG